CAGCCCTTGTCAGCCCTTGTCAAAAGCCAGGTTCTCATCCTCCCTAAGATTTTTTGTTTCTGCTTTGTGTTTATTTATTTGTTTTTTCCCCAGACTTTTTGTTTGTTTTTTTCACTTTTTTTTTCTTCTGGATAAAAGGCCCCATTTCCTCCCACCACCTCACCTAAAAGTATGATAGCGATCTGCTATATTTAAAATGGATAACCAACAAGGACCTACTGTACACACAGGGACCTCTGCTCAATGTTATGTGGCAGCCTGGATAGGAGGGGAGTTTGGGGGAGAAGGGATTCATGTGCATGTATGACTGAGTCCCTTCGCTGTGCCCCTGAAACTGTCACAACAGTGTTAATTGGCCATACTCCAGTACAAAATAAAAAGTTTAAAAAGATAAAAAAGTGTTTAAAAAAGAGAGAAATGATGAGATAAACCAAATGAAGTCTGTTTCAAAAGCAAAACAAAATGAAAAGATTTCTTTTTGAGCTCTATCGGATATTTAACAGGAAATGATATTGCGAATCATAACTCAGTGGCATTGCTTATTTAATCCATCACAGAAAAGCATTATTTCTTTATCCTTTCCACTTAAAGATACATGTGTGTCTACACCTAGTATTTTAAGGTGTCATTAGTCATCAATCAGGTTCTGACTTTNTTGCGAATCATAACTCAGTGGCATTGCTTATTTAATCCATCACAGAAAAGCATTATTTCTTTATCCTTTCCACTTAAAGATACATGTGTGTCTACACCTAGTATTTTAAGGTGTCATTAGTCATCAATCAGGTTCTGACTTTCTCCTCACTTTTCCACCCAAGCCAAGGATCTAACTGAAACAGATAGACTGCTAGAGCTGATTGGTAATTTCCTAGTAGCACCTTACAAAAGGAACTTAACATTTTTTAACAATTTCGAGTCTGTTCATAGGACAGTGTATGGTCATTTTTCAAAACACCACAGCAGAAAAATAAAACCCCCAAATTGCCGGCTATCACCTTGAATAATAATCCAAATGTTCTGCTTTGCAAAGACAAATGACTCATTTAGGCTAAAGCAACTAGGCTGCCTTTGAGACGTTCATTGATTTTTAAATTAAAAAATAACTGCTCTGTTTTACATTAAGAGTGACAACTGAATAACGGAGTAGACCTTACTTAGTGTTATTTGTAGCAACTCTATTGCACCTCTCTGAAGGGGGGCGGGGAGGAGGACATGCTTCAACAAGGTAATCTTAGTGATCAATAATCCCGATCTCTCAATGTGCTGTAGCAGGTAGTCAATTCTTGATAGAATTACTGAAATACAGCTGGCTGTTTTTCTCATGGCTCAGGTCTTTGGGTTCAGTGTACTGACTTTATTAACTTTAGCTTTATTCTCCTTGAAAGGTTTGTCTCTTTTACTTTATGTAGCTACATTGGGGGGAGGGGAGGGGAGCTAAAGGAAAACGATCTATCCCACTTGTTCTGCAAAGACACCCACAAAGGGAATTGGGGGCCCAGCAGAGGAGAAGAAGGCTTAGAAGAGGGAGTTGTTCTTGAGATTTGTTTTTCGCTCTCTTTGCAAGCAGACCTTCCTAATAAATTTGAACCGTGTAAAAAAATTAAAAGTTTTAAAGGCAGCATTGACTTGGGAGAGTGATTTTTTTCAACGAGTTAGAAGACTCTGGTTCCATACAACTAGTACAAGAACACTGTAGGTAGAAGTCAGCCTTCTTAAGAGTCACAAAGAGCAACTGTTAATACTATGTATCAGACCCTCAAGTATTTCTTCTAATGATTTCTAAAGAGGTATTTCTTAAAAAGGACACCCTTGGCTAATTTTTTAAAGTGTAGTTTGAACTTTAAATCTAAACGTAATCAATGACAAGCTTAGTTTTTCAAATAATCCAGAATTAGGACTTTTCGTTGACTGTCTTCCCACCCCTGCCCAACTCTTCACTCAGACATGTTCACACAAAGAAGCTTCACTGTGTGGCCATTTGATATTATTCTTCATTATAACAGAAACTAATACCCTGGGAGGAGCTGTGTGTCTGAACTACCCGCAAACCTGGTTACCCTCCCAAACCCCAGTTCATCAGCATCCCATGAATCTGACCAGCTTTCTTCTGCTCTATGACCTTTCATGACCCCACATCAGCTATAAAATCCAGGCAGCTTCCCGGGGCATGTGTGACACACACAGCCCGTTGTCCAGCCCAGCGTTCTTCTTCCATCATGTGTGTGATACAGTCCCTTCTGCAAACCCTGCTCCCCAGACATCTGAAGTTACTCATAAATCTCAGAACAGAGCAAACACTTCACCATTTAGGAATACTTTCAGCAACAGGTATAGCAAACCTGTCCAGCAGTGGCTTAATCTAAAAATATTCATTACGTTTTAACTGGAGGGTCAGAAGTAGAGAGTCCGTGGGTTGGTGTTCGCGGCTCACTCAGAGAAGGGCCACACTGCAGAATTCAGATTCCCACTTTATTCCCAACTCCAGAGTGTTTCTTTCCCTTCCTCTTCAGCTAGTCCTGGTGTCAGAGCCTGTTAGGTACATGCCATGTGCAAGGTCATCTCCTCCAGTCTTTTTCTAGGGGGAGGTTCCAAGAGGGACCGGAGATGTTTTAGGATAATATACAAAAAGGTGAGGTCAGGTCTCTCTTACAGATATAAAATGAATAAGCATTTGAGATTTTCTTTAACTCATTGATTAATGAGGGAACCAGGCAGATGTTATAATGGGCTCAAAGAGAAATCAAAGAAGCACAAATGTATGTGAAATAAGGAAGATTGGAATGACTGTGCAGATGGATACAAACTGGCGTTTTCCACAGGAGGGAGGATTGTCCTTCCCTAGGACAGAATTCATCTGTATAAATACAGACAAGAATTATTTTCCCTTGTTTTCAGTTATCTGTTACTTAGATAGCACCCACAGACTTGGAATCACGTGACTGGAAGGGTGTACCCTATAGTTTTCTACCGAAGCACAGATTTTTTTTCCTATAAAGAAAAATGGCATATTCAATAAACATGTTTAGGTTTGTTGTAAGGACTAAATACCGTAATCTCTAGTAATATGAAGAAAGCTCATTGTGCCTGCCACTACCACTGCTGTTCCTAATAATTTCATATACTTACGACCTAATCTCCTCACTTGAATTTAAAACTCTTCCAGTAATAAGAACTGAAAATTCCATTTCCTGTTGTATCTTCCACCTCCTTTTTCCTACTCATTCACCTCTTCATAAGGTCTTATGCTAAGTCAGTAGTGGATACTAATAACTGCTTGCCAAATAAGTGAATTCATTGATTTTTTTTTTATGGAAATGATGCTGGCTTTATAAAAAGGACATAATTTTCAATGTTTAAAATTTCTATATAGTTTTTTAAAATAGCTATGATTGTAACTATCTTTTTCTTGGCAATATGAGCCAAAGCACACATCTCAAAATCCAATTAAAGGGACTTCCCTGGCGGTCAAGTGGTTAAGACTCTGCCCTGCCAATGCAGGAGGTGTGGATTCAGTCCCTGGTTGGGAAACTAACATCCCACATGCTGTTCAGTGCAGTCAAGAGACAAAAGATTTTCTAAAACAATAAAAATGCCACAGTTATGCATGTTCAGAAACACTTCCACACACACACACACACACATATATATATATGTATGTATGTATGTATGTATTTCTGCAAAGTTAGTCATTAATTGAAGTGAACTAATTTTTTAAGTATTTTAATAATTATGTTTATTCCATAAAAGAGAACCAGTATGCCCTCAATAACAAATGATAGAGAAAACTAGTTAAATATTTACCCACTTGTTTTTACCTATGATAGATTATACACCCATTGGATTAGCCAGATCACTAATTGTACTTTGTGTTTATAGATAAACTCTATATATCAAGTAATTTTACTCTCCAACTCCAATTTTTCATTATATCTAAATACCTGGGTGTAAATGTATGCTTTTTTAACCTTTTTTTACCTGAATTAATTTTTTCCTTTTACATTTTTCTCTAAAATATCTAGTTTTCAAATCAGACCCTATAAAACTTCAGGATACTACCACATATTTTTCTGAATTACTAAAATGTCATGTTTCCTCATAAACTTGCTTTATTTATTTCTGCTTCATGACCCCTAGACACCATCCTAACCCCATGTCAGGGATTATAATCCAGGAAATTAACACAAGAGTTCCCTATAGCCTGTAATTTTTGAAGGCTTTTAAATTTTTTCCATCTTATTAGTTTGCCTTCATTTCCAATTGAACTGTTTCTATTGTACTAAAACTCTTAAATTTAGGAGTTCATGGTTAAACAAAAAAATTTAATTCGGACTTACTCCAAGAATAACAGAAGGTCTGCTTCTTAGTTCTTATAAATCATGTCTTTACAAAGGTAATCCAATATCATGTTAGCCTGTCTAGTATCAGTAGACCAGCATTAATGCATTCAAATTATGTTTTCTTACCTAGCTAATAAATAACTAAAGAATTCTAATCATGTGAATTATAAGGAAGAACATCACTGTTTCCTTTCTATCTACGTAAAATGTTTTAAGAGAATTCACTGCCATATAATATCCTAAAAGAAATTGATCATACTTTTCCTGTAATAAATGTTGTTCTGACAGTAAAGCATTAGTAACCAATTGATAACCTAGCAACAATATTGTGATCTCTTTAGATAATTAATCTTAGCTATTTTCCTGTCAGAAGCAACAGTGCTTGATTTTATGTTGAGCCAGAAAGATTGCCAGTTTTGAAAATTAAAAAGCATTCCTTTTATATTACTCATTCCAGTAACAATTTATGATGGCGCATTTAGCGGCTGAACGCTTGTCAACAAACGTAATTATGTTTCGATATAAACAAGATTGGTGGTTTGGCTAGGCTGCTCCATCTTTGTTGAGAATGTTTTGATTTAGGTTCAGATTATACAAGCTGTGTATTTATGTGTCATTTTTTTCCTCCTTTGTTAATAGTTTTTTTCTGATAATTACTTGTAGGCAAACAAGCATGCATTTAGGATCTCTGTGCACAGGAGACATCAAACGGAGAAGAAAAGCCGCACCTTTGCCTGGACCTACGACAGCAGGTAAAAGGAAGAGGGCTTGGGGCAGAGCACACATCATCAGGGGTGAAACACGGATGATCCTTAACTTGCACTGAGGAAGAAGCATGGTTCTAAGAACCCCGTAAAGCAAATCATTTGCCTTTGTTGTCAGGATGTATCGAGTGTTCCTTGTTAAGTTTTTCGGGCAGCCAATCACTAAAGTACTTACTTGCTGTTGTTGTTGTTTAGTTGCTAAGCCGTGTGCAAATCTTTTGCAATGCCGTGGACTGTAGCCCACTACACTCCTCTGGCCATGGGATTTGTCAAGTAAGAATACTAGAGTGGGTAGCCATTTCCTTCTTCAGAGGATCTTTCCGACCCAGGGATCAAACCTGTATCTCCTGCATTGGCAGGCGGGTTCTTTACTACTGAGCCCAAGTACTTCCCACACATTTGCACACTTGGGCTTCTCAGGTGGTGCTAGTGGTAAAGAACCCGGCTGCCCTGGAGAGGGCACAGCAACCCACTCCAGTATTCTTTCCTGGAGAATTCCATGGACAGAGGAGCCTGGCGGGCTACAGTCCATGGGATCACAAAGAGTTGGACACAACTGTGCGACTAACTTTCACTTTCAGTTCAGTTCAGTCCAGTCACTCAGTCATGTCTGACTCTTTGTGATTACATGAACTGCAGCACACCAGGCCTCCCTGTCCATCACCAACTCCCGGAGTTTACTCAAACTCATGTCCATCGAATTGGTGATACCATCCAACCATCTCATCCTCTGTCATCCCCTTCTCTCCCACCNAGCTTGTGCTTCATCCAGCCTGATATTTTGCATGATGTACTCTGCATAGAAGTTCAATAAGCAGGGTGACAATATACAGCTTTGAGGTACTCCTTTCCCTATTTGGAACCAGTCTGTTGTTACTTGTCTGGTCCTAACTGTTGCTTCCTGACCTGCATACAGATTTCTCAGGAGTCAGGTCAGGTGGTCTGGTATTCCCATCTCTTGAAGAATTTTCCACAGTTTGTTGTGATCCACACAGTCAAAGGCTTTGGCGTAGTCAATAAAGCAGAAGTAGATGCAAAAAAACCTTTCACTTTCAATATGGAAATAAACCACAATGAACCATAGTAGGTCTGTGATTCAGCAAAATGACTCTGAGAAAATGTTTTCCATGTAGATACTGAACAGTTGGGCTTCCCTGGCGGTTCAGTGCTAAAGAATCCTCCTGCAGTGCAGAAGCTGTGACTGATCCCTGGGTCAGGAAGATGCCTTGGAGAAGGAAATGGCTACTTACTCCAGTATTCTTGCCTAGAAAATCCCAAGGACAGAGGAACCTGGCAGGCTACCGTCCTTGAGGTAGTAAAAGATTCAGTCACAACTTACCCACTAAACAATAGGAACACAAGATCAATTACAAAGTTACTATTATAGCATTGGCCTATTGCCTGGGATCCTTAACCATTCAGATTTATAAACTGTCTCTCTCAGCTTCATTTGGAAATTCTTTCATTGAAGGAGTTATTTTGGCCATGATGAATTATACAGTATGAAAATAAGATTTGTATCAACAGGAGAGTAAGCAGTGAGAAGGGGAAAATATAGACATAAATACAGGTATAGATAGATATCTTGACATGATTTCAAAGGAAATAAAAGATATGAAGCTTAAATTCTCTTATTTCAGAGACCTTTTCCAAAGTTCAACACTAAAAAATTGAAGAATAACTTAAAATTGGAGCATCCATAATACAGTTGTTCATTCACATAAAAGGTTACCTTATGAAATTATACATGTAGTTGCAAGTTTAATATCTGATCTTCCTCCTCTAATTTTGTTGAATTTTTGGAATTTGGAAGTAGGAAGCACCTACATGCAGAATATGTTCATATGGATGGAGATTCATAGCATTGTACAGGAGGCAGTAACCAAAATCATCCCAAAGAAGAAATGCAAGAAGACAAGTGGTTGTCTGAGGAGGCCTTACAAATAGCCAAGAAAAGAAAAGGCGAAAAGGAAAGATATACCCAACTGAATGCAGAGTTCCAGAGAATAGCAAGGAGAGGTAAGAAAGCCTGCTTAAGTGAAAAATACAAAGAAATACAGGAAAACAATAGAATGGGAAAGACTAGAGATCTCTTCAAGAAAATTGCACATATCAAGGGAACATTTCATGCAAAGATGGTCTCAATAAAGGGCAGATATGGCAAGGACCTAACAGAAGCAAAAGAGATTAAGAAGAGTTGGCAAGAATACACAGAAGAACTATACAAAAAAGGTCTTAATGACCCAGATAGCCTTGATGGTGTGGCCACTCACCTAGAGCCAGATATCCTGGAGTGGGAAGTCGAGTGGGCCTTAGGAAGCATTACTATAAACAAAGCTAGTGGAGGTGATGGAATTCGAGCTAATCTATTTAAGATCCTAAAAGACGCTGCTGCTAACAGCTGCACTCAATATGTCAACAAATGGAAAACTCAGCAATGGCCACAGGACTGGAAAAGGTCAGTTTTCATTCCAATCCCAAAGAAGGGCAATGCCAAAGAATGTTCAGACTACCATACAGTTGCACTCATTTCACATGCTACAAAAGTAATGCTCAGAATCCTTCAAGATAGGCTTTAACAGTATGTGAACCAAGAACTTCCAGATGTTCAAGCTGGATTTAGAAAAGGCAGAGGAACCGGAGATCAAATTGCCAACATCCGTTGGATATAAAAAGCAAGGGAATTCCAGAAAAACATCTGCTTCATTGACTATGCTAAAGCCTTTGTGTGGATCACAACAAACTGTGGAAAATTCTTCAAGAGATGGGAATACCAGACCACCTGACCTGCCTTCTGAGAAACATGTATGCAGATGAAGAAGCAACAGTTAGAACCAGACATGGAACAGTGAAACAGTTTCAAAATTGGGAAAGGAGTACATCAAGGCTGCATATTGTCACCCTGCTTATTTAACTTACATGCAGAGTACATCATGGGAAATGCCAGGCTGGATGAAGCACAAGCTGGAATCAAGATGGCCAAGAGAAATGTCAGCAACCTCAGATATGCCAATGATGCCATGCTAATGGCAGAAAGTGAAGAGGAACTAAAGAACATCTTGACGAGGGTGAAAGAGGAGAGTGAAAAAGCTGACTTGAAACTCAATATTTTGAAAAACTAAGGTCATGGCATCTAGTCCCATTATTTCATGGCAAGTAGACGGGGGGAAAGTAGAAACAGTGACAGATTTTATTTTTTTGGTCTCCAAAATCACTGTAGACAGTGGCTGTAGCCATGAAATTAAAACATGCTTGCTCCTTGGAAAGAAAGCTCTGACAGACCTAGACAGCGTATTGAAAAGCAGAGACATCACTCTTCCAACAAAGGTCTGTATAGTCAAAGCTGTGGTTTTTCAAGTAGTCATGGACAAATGTGAGAGTTGAACCATAAAAAAGGCTGAGTGCTGAAGAATTGATGCTTTTGAATTGCGGTGTTGGAGAAGACTCTTGAGCATCACTTGGACTGCAGGGAGATCAAACCAGTCAATCCTAAAGGAAATCGACCCTGAATATTCATTGAAAGGACTGATGCTGAAGCTGAAGCTCCAATACTCCTGAATACTTTGGCCACCTGATGCAAAGAGCAGACTCATTGGAAAAGACCTTGACACTGGAGAAGATGGAGGGCAGGAGAAGAAGCAGGCGACAGAGGATGAGATGGTTGGATGGCATCATTGACACAATGGACATGAGTTTGCTCTTCGCTGGAAGATGGTGACGTACAGGGAAGCTTGACTTACTGCAGTCCATGGGGTCACAAAGAGTCAGACAAGGCTTAGAGACTGAACAACCACAACAGATATTTATGTAGATAAATATTTACAACTTACTGAGTGCCTACTATGTACCAAAGCTTTATTATTGTTTTTTATCTTTGCAACAACGTGGTGTTTTACATGTTATTATCGTTCACTGTGCAGCATAAGATGAAGATTCAGACATGTGTGGGCTTCTTCTTAGCTGTCTGTAAAGGCAGAATGATTGAAGGGCGAAGGGAGGATTCAAGCCAATGTCTGCATTACTCCTAAACCCATCTTCTTTTAGTGACAACATACTTAGTTCCCTTTGTAAGAATATATAGGTAAAGACCATCATATTCCATGATACAGACTATTATTTATCTGAAGTGCCAAAAACATTTATCTAAATTTGCTGTGCAGAAATACAGAATATTCATTAGTATACTTCTAATATGTGTCTTTATACAGGAACATATAGCCACTTTTAGATTAAATACATGTCATAAGTTTTTCAATTCAAATCACGCATAAGGCAGGTGTAGGATTCTTTAATACACCCATTCTGGTTGAATGGTCTCCTGAATTCTTATCTTTCAATGATTCCAACATATGTGGCAGAAATAGTACAAGAACAATCTTAGGAATGTGACTAAAGCACTTCAGAGCCAGCAATAAGTGAGAGAGACTGTCAGGGTCAGGTCCTAACACTCTGAACATATGTGAAGTGAGAAGGAAAATACATAATGTTTGGGAAGAGGATAATATAATTATATCTACAGGGTGATTTTTTATGTGACAACTCAACAGCATCAGAAAGAAATCATTTTTTATAGACTATGGGTATAAAGATTAAACTTTAGCCTAAAACATTCTTAAGCATCTACCAGCATATTCCAAATGTTATTTTTCAAAATTTTTGTGATTCTCCTTACAACTCAAGATTTTGATTCTATTACTACATTGTTTTACTTAAAAAAACATAATTCATAGAAAGTTAATGCATTGTTGTAATTAATCAAATAGTATTGGAGTAGGAGAATTATGTTACTCATACATTTTTAAAATCCGTGCATAACTGTTCCTCTCAAGGAGGAAGAGAATGAGGTTATTTTAAAATCCTTAGTTTTAAAAAGAATATCTTCTAATACTAATGAATCATCTCTAAGGTGAAGATTATTATCCAAATTCACGTAAGAAATGCTTTTGCATAAATACACTTTGTTAATGAGGTTATGAATCCTAGATCAT